GCACTGCCCTGTAACAGAAGTCAAATGAGTGTTTGCTCAAGGAAATTCACTCATTGTCTGTCCCACTTTTGTCAGCAAGTGATGTTTCTACCATCTTCTGAGTGATTAAGGTCTGCATTTGCAAATGGGAATTACGTTACCATAAATCTAAGTTATACTTTCAGTTAAATGCCATTCTCTAAACAAATTAAAAACTTGGGATAATGTCAGTGGTGCTTGCCTTTGCAGATAGAGCAGTGCCCACAGGGAGTTTCTGTTGAGTTTCAGTACTGGTAACTTCTGGAAATATATGTGTGTGTGTGTATGCATGTATATATATATATTTTTTTAACCCTTTTCCTTAGAAGCTGAGAAAAGTTAAGGCTATACATCTGGTGAAGGGATGCAATTACACATTTATCACTCTTTCTTCCCACCCATGAGGAATGTCAGCCAAAATGTGAATGTTACAGCCTTTCCACGAATCTCAAGAGTAATACCCAAAGTATGACTCCTGCTAGGAGCCATCATGGGAGGGGACAAGGGGGAAATAAACATAGCACGTCAGTAACAAGATCAGTTCTTTTCCTTTTCTATACTTCTACATTTGTTGCAGTTGAATTTCTTGCTCTGCAAGGAGCGTGTTGGCTTTGATTGGAATATGCCTTTTAGGGGAGTAGGGAGATGTGGTGTGTCGGTTTTGTAGAGTGGTGGGGGTTTTTTTCTTCCAAGGTTGAAGGCAAACGTGTCGTCTTTTAGTGTGCCTCTTGCAAGGTCTTGCAGATCATTTCGCGTCTCTGCCCCAGAATAGAGAGATGTGGGGGTTTTCCTATTATGCAGTGATTTGGAAGGTGCTCGAAGACTTCATAGCAATCCTGAAAATAAGCCTGAAACTGAGAGCAAACCAGCTCCCTAAACATACTTGTTCTTCCAAGATGTTCTGGGAGGTTTCCTTGAAGCAGCTTAAAAAAAATTCTCCAAAGCTTTCTGAAATTGGCACCTCTGTCAGTTTGTACTCCGAGAAGAATGCTTTCAACAAATGACATTTTCCCCCCAGTGTCGTTTATTATACAACTAACAATGTCCCTATGTCTGCACAATTGTTTCCTGTGATAATCTGTAGGCTTCCACCTCTTTCATTCTTGTGACATAGGTGAGATGAAAGATATCAAACAACAATGTAAGGAAGAGTATCTAGAAAGAGGTGTAATGAACAACTGGGGTCATGAAGGAAAAAGTGTCTTTGCTGCCAGGGGTGATGCTAGGTGTCTAAATCAAAACTAAAACAACTTTTGCCTCTGTTAAAGTCAAACCTGGAATTCCTGCTTGTCCTCTAAGCAGACCAAGTTAAAAAGTACATTTGAATCCAGCCTAATAAAAGACTGTATCATGTATTTAGAAGGTAGTATTCTGTAGAAAGTGAAACCACACACTTAGTTTTGTGTGCTTCTTATTGCAGTGACCCAAAGTGTTGGGAGGTTCAATGTGTAAGCTGCTCAGTGGTGCAGGACCACTGGCAGACCGTATTGGGCCTCTACGTTCCTGGACAACCTGCAGCAGCATGAAGTTCAGTGTAGGCCTGTTCACCTCTCTTCACAAGCAGGCTTTGCTGAGCTCATTCCTTAGTCGAGCCTGTTTTGGAAACCCTGAGGTAGCCAAGGTAAAGCTCTACGCTGCAGTCAAACAGACAGGGCTCGTTCGCTTCATTCTGCTTGCTTGGTGCTGTAACGCTGAGATGTTGAATCCTTTGAAATTATGAGGCCGTAGTGGAAACTCACTGTGTGCCTGAGCACGTGAGTGCCTGCTTTTTGCAATGAAGTGAACTGCAGCTCTCACTGTCTAGTTGTATTTTTATCCTTCCCTAGCAATGTCTTGCTGGAACTTCATAAGTCTTCTTGAGAAACCAGAAACTTAATATTAAGAAGCCAGTCCTAAGAATATTTTTGTTCTTGTTTTTCCTTTTGTAGCTGAGCAATAGACTGATACGGGGATATATTTTAAAATCCTCAGAAGAACAGTTGTTTTACAATGCTTATGTTTCTGAAATATGGACAGGTTTGTGTTGACTACAGTGCTGAAGGCACTAACTTGTGTGGATGCGTCTAATCTAGTGTATAGTGCTGCTGCATCCTGAGGTTAACATATAAATCATACGCAGTGTTTATTTTGTTAAAAAAAAAATCAAAATCAATAAGCAAAAAGGCAGTGCTGCTTTTTCCCCCATCCCACCCCCCAAACAAGAAACCGTGTTTTAGATATGTTTAAAGTGAAAATGGTACTAATTTAGTGGAAGCTGATGGCAGTATCTAAGTAATTAGGAGCAGTAGAGGAGAAAAGCGATAGAGAACTAAGCTTGTAACTTAAACTAAAGGCCAGGGATGGTGGGCCAGAATGGTAATGTCTTGTGCTGTGGTGTTTGGGGTTTTTTTCCTGAACCAGAGTTCAAAAGCTAGAATTGATTTCTTGGTGGTATAAAGCTGCTTGTTACATTGCCAGCCTAGCAAATACTTAAAGGTCTGTTTTATGTAAAGATTAAATATTAACTTATTTAAATGAAGGTTTTGCTTTGTAGTATAAAGATCCTGTAAAAACCGTAGATTTGCCATTTGCTGAGTGAATTTGGACACGTAGTAGGATTGCTGTTCATTTAATCTATCTGACAATGAGAATAACAACAGTGAAAGGGATAGAAACAGAAACACTTGCATGAACTTCTGAGGCAGAAGAGAACTGGCCATTTTTTTATTTTTATTTCATTTGAGGATGATAAAACAGGATGAAAATCACAAGCATTTCAGTGTTGGCTTTTACCTCAAACTGCAGGAGTTTGCCAAACTGAAATTGTTCTGCACAGTGTAATAACTGCATTCTGACCTAGGGGACCTAGGTACGAAAGAGAAAATTATCTTCCAGGTGCTGTGAAGCTTTAATTAATTTTTATGAAGTTTATTTAGGGATCTTTTGATGAATTCTCATAGGTGATAAAATCTTAAGCTTTTTTTCTGCATGTAAAGACTGTTCACTATTTTGAGTATTCAAACATCAAATTTGGCTCATAATTTTGTTTTGTGCTGAGAGCAGAAATGAGACTACAGATTATGGAGTGCTTTAACCAGAATTACTTACAAGAAAATTCCTGTAGTTTTAGAGATAACAGTGTTCTTCCATGCCGTTAGAGGATAATTAAGAACATTTTTGTATTTCTTGTCTAGGGAAATACATGTTGTCCAGCTGTGTGCAAAGGTGTTTACTTAAGACCTATGAGGAGCCAAAGACAAAGCTTATTCTAAAGTACCTCTAGTATTTTTTTTTAAGTTGAGCAACAACCCTACTCAGCAGGCTTGTTTTAATTTTCACCTTTTTAATGATTTTATCTTCTCCTTATATTGTTGAAAAAGTTTTAACTAGAGAAATAAAATTCTAGTAAAATCTCAAGCAAAAACAGTCATAGGATTCGCTTTAAAAAATAATGTGACCTCTGTGCATTGCACAGTGGAGTATTACTGAGACTGTATCATGACACAGCTGGACCTGTTCTTATATTTACATGCATACTTTACCAGTAATCATGTGCTTCAGGTCTGTTTGTGTGGATTGTGTCCCAGTTTCAGACAGAAACACAGGAGGAGGATGTGCAAGTATGCATAACTAATTTGAAATTGAGCTATTCTTTAGGATTTACCTCCTTAAGTTTGAAGCCAGCCTTGTTCTATTCTAAATGGTAATTTCTTCCTTCTTTAGGTGGAAGTAACCAGAACCTTTTCCATTAACTTTGTAGAGGCTCCATGGACAGATAAGAGGGTGCTGAGTGGATATTTTAAGGAAGGGGGAGAAGGGGATGAAAACAAACAAAAAACCTATCTGAACAAAAAGGAGTCATCTATACATTGACATATCACCTCATTATGTCTCTTGTTGACTGTAAAAAGAGGCATGTTGCATAATATAGTTGCAGACCCTTTTGCTATAGGTATCTGCAGTTAAGTGAGACACATGCCACCTCTTTGACCAAAGTAACCCTTCAGAACAAAGTCTCCAATGCATACTGAAGCCCTACTGTTCACGAGGAAAAAGCTCTTTTGAACTGGCACACAGACTAATGACAAGAAATGTCAGAGCTGAGAGAGCGGAGACAATGTGGAGTGAGGTGAACTGCAGTAGGCAGGGTGTGCTCTGTTAACTTTTTGCTCGTGCGGATGACCAGAAGCTTAAATTTGGTAAGATGAAGAGTCGGGACAAGATCCTTTCCTCGTTGCATTTCAGGAATTCAGTGTCTAAGGAAGAGATCCAGCAAGGGGAGTGATATGAAGAAAGCAACCTAATAAGTAGAGCAGCTCTGTTCAGCATCTTACCTGAACTGATGAATGAAGTGTGAAGGTTTTGGAGAAGCCTGATGTCAGGAGGATGTACTCCTAGTCGGGCAGTATACAAGGTAGATTTGAACAATAGAATTTGCTGTTGGGATAAAAGGAGATGAGGATGTAGGAGAGAAGGAAGTGGACAGGTTTTAACTATGCCTGAAGAATTCAGGTCAGGAAAAAAGTAAAAAATAACATGTGATGGGAAGAGAGAAGTGGTGAGAAAAAACTGAGGAAGGGAAGTAGGTTACATGTAACACAGTTTCATGGGGACTTCTGTAAGAACTTCCTTTATTTAATTTTCTGCTTTCCAGTGGTACACCTGTTGGCCTAGCTGTTGACTCAGAAAACTCTGCTAGGTGCATATCTGAAGGAGAACATGCATAAATTATGATCTAATTAATGTCTGTGAAAAGCAGTGTGCTAGCTTGGTTAGCGCAGGGAACTGGATCTCTTAAGCTCTTCCACTGACTCACCAAGCCTCAAGGGCTGGCAGGGGGAACGCTAACTCCTGTTTTATCACAGAGCAGGGTAGGGAGGCTCTGCTAATGCCTGAAGTACACTTTGGAACAAGTCAACTATCTCATATATCTCACTTCTAGCCAAGCATTTGATTCAATATGGATTACTTACCATATATATATTTCTTTTTTTCTCTTCCAGTTACTATTTCTTCAACTGCAGAAAAAGGTAATTTTTTTTTATATTTTTGACGATGTGAATAGTTTTGTTGCATGCAAGTCTTAAGGGACATAAAATTTAAATGTACTCCTTTATGTGTAAGCTCTGTGTACTGAGTAGATTAGTGCTAAGAAACAAGGTAAATATTGTGAGGTTGAGTCTGTTTAGCTTCTAGTACCACACGCTTGGGATGATGACAAGACCTGTGAGTAATGCAACTATGATTTAGGTTTGCAAATATTTTTAAATGGGTACCTTCTAAGAACAGAAAAAGGAGAACAGAGAAGGAACTGCAGCAGATCCAGAAGTCCATTTTCTGTTTATTCCTGAACACACCCTGTGACCTGAAAGACTTCTGGAAGAGGAAGATTTGTTCTACTGCTTGCTATTTTCCAAGCAGCTTACCAAATTCCTCAGAACCCCATTCTTTAGGACTCGTTAGAACTGTGCAAAACACAACTATTTCAAAGGTGGCTGCACATTATAATTTTAAATCACCAGGTCAAGTGGTTAAGGCCTTGTTTTGACAAACTTTACTTAAGTCTTCACATTGGCTTTGGCAAGTATATGCCACAGTGGGTAGTACTTACAGAGATACAAACTGATCAAAAAATTCCAGCATTCTTGTTCTGCCACTTCTTTTAACTGTGAACAAAAACTAGTCTAAAGGATTATTTGATTCCAGAAGTTCAAAATATGGGGATTTGTTATAAAACTTTTTTTTTTTTTCTGTAGAAATACAAGTTACTGATGGGGTATTTGTTTGGGAGTTCATTTCAGTTTATAAGGGGACATGAGTGGTAGAGTAAGCATTGATTTGCATTTTGACTATCCACAGAGGGCTGTCTTCAGAGTGTGAGACCACTGGTAAGAGGCTGTCATCTGTTAAATATTTTTGCAGAACAGCATAGAATGTAGAGCTAATCCAGCAGTTTTCTTCCTGGTGGGGAACATCCAGGAGAACGCTGTGAAAGGAATGAACCTTGATGGAATCTCTCCTCTTTCGTCTTCTAATGGAGAGGTGAAAGAGTGGGGAAATCTGCAAAATAAACTGTAAGCTGTTCAAGATGAGAGCTGTCTCTTACCATGGATTTTTACATCACATTGCACAGCTGGGCTTCACCTAGACTTCACGAAATTCTGCAGATTGCTGCTGTGCTTTACTGTTGACCTGAATATGAATAAGTTTTACTTTCTTCTTCTGGAAAGGCAAGATCCATATCTCAGTTAAGGAAGCCTGGCAGAGCAATGGTGTTGGTGTTGCATAGTCAGATCTCTGGCTTTAGTACAAATGTGGTGCCTATGTGGCTGAAGCAGGTGCTCTTAAATCTACCAGGGAAGAAAAATGCTTGATTAATTAATGAGACTGACAGTATCGTTGGAACCTGACTGTTAGGCTTTTAATAGCTGTCACCTGCATGCTTCTTGTACCCTCAATTCTAAAGCATGTCATAGGCATCCTGTATGTATGAATTTCTTTACCAAGGAGGTTGATCTTAAAATGAGATGCAAAGTCTTTTTTCATTTGAAATGAAAGCTGTCATAAGTTTTATAAAGTTCTTAAAAGCTAACTTGCAATAGCCAGGAAGTAACATCAAAAGAGTCAAAAGGCCAAAGTACCAGTAACATTGCTATGTAAATCAACAATGTGCATCTTAGCAAATATATTTTGCTCCATATTTCAGTGTACTGTGTTCAAATCCTTTTACTCCAGTACTTAATTACAACTTTTGATTAAATTAGTGGTGATTTCTTCACCCTATTAAGGCTAATTGTTTCTTTGTAATTTCATATTCTTACCTAGATTTATATCCATTGGGATAGGGGAATAAAGTCAACTCTGAATATCTCTTAACAATATAATATACTTCTGTTATATACTATTACCTCTCTTTAATCTGACTCAGTCTTGGAAATAGTATGAAGAATGATTCAGAAAAGGATGTTAAGGGCAAATCTTAGGAGGCCTTACCATATTTTAGGAGGATTCTAAGAGCATGTCTTAAGACATTGTCCTCCTGAGGGCATAAATTGTGGTCTAATATGCGTCAGTGCCTTTTAAGAGAAGTGATTTGACTTGGTCACAGCATGACACCAAGAATCCTGGATTCCCTTAGCATAGCCAGGACTTCCTCATGACTCTGAGTCTGGCTAAACTGGCAGATACTGGGGTTTGAGGTTTTTGACCTATTTTCCATCTAGCTTGTAATTACAAGAAAATGAGCTGAATAGGAATGAGGCTGGTTTGTATTTGTACTGGTAACTGATGCAAGATGCTTCAGGGAGTAGTCTGCAGAGGAGATGCTGCTATCCAAACCAGTGAGTAGATGGACTGCCAAAGTAAAGCTGTCAAAAATGGTATCTTCCCTCCCTCTCATTTCTTGGGGAGCACAGACAGGACAGATATCTGTAATCACAGTAGGAATGGCAGCACAGGAGTGGGAAAAGAAGCAAGAATCTATTCAGCGTGGGGCCAGTATGGACTGCCAGTTGTAGGCTCTTTCTCCTGTAGACTGGGTGGTGCCCATCACTGGAACAGCTGTGAAAGTCTTGCTTGTCCTTGAGTTGCCCCAGTTTGGCTACTGAGGACAGGCCCTTGGCTTTTAATGATAGTGACAAATCGCAAGATCTCTGTTATTGCAAGAGTGCAAGAGCACTTTAACAGCTGCCTCTTTCTAGTAAATACTGGTAGCACTGGCACAGATCTGTACCATTGCTGCAGCCAGCCTTGGTGCCCGTTATTCTGTGTGTTGTTGGGGCATTTACAGCCTGTGACAAGACTGAGGTTCTGCTGTTTGAAGTATTGTGTGTGCACTAAAAAATACTCCCTCAGAAGAATCTGAATTCTGGGGAGATTTCTACAGACAGAATAGAACTGTTTACTGTGTAATTTAATTTTGCTGTGCCCTGCCCTTCCCTGTATCTCATTTCCTCTTTCTTTCTACTTAGTTCCGCTCATCATCTTCTCCCCCGAAGCTCTGATCTGTGCAGCTGATTCCACTGCAATTTTGTGTCCATTTCTCCTCTTTTCCAAACAATTTTCTCATGCTTTAATTGCTTAACATTATGTTTGAATGTGTCTAGTATTTTTTTAATGAAAGACAATTTCTAATTATGCAGTGCCCAGTACAGTGATACACAAGTTCTTTCCTATCACAACGGCAATTTTAGGATGGCTTTAGAAAAAGGTTTTGCTTCTTGCATTTTCAGTCAGCTCCACAGCTGAAAATTTCCCAAATCTCTCTGTAAGGTTGGAGGAGTCAGAGGCAAAGGTAAAAAGCATAATTCTCTCAAGAAAGCTCAAATACAGTTTGTTTGGGTTTTTTACTGCAACAAGCAATGAAGATCCTGAAAGATGATAGATTAAGATAATATCTTGTGACTGTGCACAAGCATTTTCTGAGCTGTTGGAAGTTCCCAAAGTTTCAAGCCTGTTCTGCCATCCATGAAGTATGTCATACGCCTTCTTAAAGGACTCTCTTTATGCACATGGGAAAGTAGGTCAAGTTTCCTTCTTCATGCAACTGAAGATAATATAAGTGAAGATGATGTAAATATTTAGTATGACTTCTTTTCTCAGGCTTGCTGTTCTGTCACAACTGATCTGTTTCCTCTTGACAAGTGGTAAAAGAAACTGTTAGAGGAAACAAGATTGGAAGAAGCCTCCTGGGTCATACGGTCTGAGTCTCTGGTCTTTAAGGCAACCATATCACATCAACCCATTTATAAATGGATTGAGCTCCCTACTAAAGCCACCTACATTTTGTTGCCACTGTGACTATAATAGCAGGACCCTTCCAGATTATATTCCTCTGATGATGTGAAAGAAGATAATCAGACAATTTTTAACTCACAGCTATCTCTCATCTTGGAGTGCAGTCCTCTCCAAACCCCTGGTTTGGAGTTTTTACTGTCACTGATGATCAGTGCCTTCTACAATGGCACAATACCATGCTGTTTCTACTAGAAGTAGAAATTAAATTGAATTCTCTAAGTTAGTTATCAAATACTTTACTATAAGCTAGAACAGAATTGTAGCATCTTCTTTATCCAAAAAGGTTAGTCACTTACATGCCACAGGTGAAGCTGTGTTCAGTTCTGGGTTTTCTTGGTTGGTTTGGTTTTTTCCCTTCAAAGTCTGTTTTGGATTTGTACATAAAAGCATATTATTTCCTTGAGGAATAGCACCCATTATATTTGGTGCTTTTTTGTTTTTAAGTGAGCACTCCTAGAGTGGTAAGTCTACCCAGGGAAAGGGGTTTAATGTAACTTAATTTTATCAGGTGATTCATAGCTTAGTAGTTGAGCTCTTATCAAAGATCAGGGCTTTTATTTCTTGTTCTTTCCAGCTGTATTCACCAAACTCTTACTTGTGTTTTATTGCAGTTGTCTACCTTGTGGTTTTTCATCTGTCATTTGTCATGTTTGTATGGTCCTATTGGAAGACAATTTTCACATCTCCTGCATCCCCCTCTAATGAGGTAAATATAACGTTAGAAAAATGTTAATGCCTTTTTTTATAAATAGCTGAACTGTTTTTGGTGATGAAACTTGCTAGCAGTACTGCATGATTCACCTTTCCCTTCTCATTATCTAAAATAGAACAGCATGACAGTGTATCATGAATGAAAATGATCAAGTTACTCTTAAAATACTGTATACTTTGTGTAATGACATTTCCTTATATGAAATGTGCATTTAATTCATCAGAAGTTTGATGGTCATGTACAGTGCTTTGCTATGAAGTAGCTTGCTTGAAACCTGGAATTTTTAAAGCCAATAAATCAAATACAGTGACAACATTTTTATATTTCCATTTTAGGCAGTTTTGACCTTTGTTTGGGTAAGAAAAATTAGTAATGCAATATATACTCATAACCTGGAGAACTGAACCACTTAGTAGTAAGTCAAGGGTTAAAGTTTAGGGACAATTGAGAATATATAATAGCAAAAGAATGCATGATGACTGTAAGAAGTTTTGTTTTGAAAAAGAACAGTATTAATTGCAATAAGCCTGAGATGGATTATCTTGTTTTCTGTTTTCTCTAAGGTGTGTGTGTATAAGGATTAAATACTGGCACCAAATTTAAAATACCTCCCTTCCCTTCCGTGGTTTTATAAAGCTTTTAAATTGGCTAAACCATTTGAGGCTTTGGTTGCTCTATGGGGGTTGAGTTTTTATTCTGATTTTGGCAAGACTGACTTTCAGTGCTAATGTCAAACATTTTTGAAAAGAGTTAAAACCATGCTTCTAAGGAAAAGCAAACGCTGCTCTGCAGTGCTTAATTACGGCTTAGAGATCTGTATCTTAAAGCTACCAAATATAAAATGAAAAAAGCTAAAGACTATTCTGTTTAGCTAAGCAAAAGAGTAGTACTGAACTGTTAAACCTAAAAATTCAAAGGGAATTGTCTTGAGGGTGGTTTGTTTTGGCTTTATCTGGGATGGTTCTGCTGGAAAATGGTAAGTTAAGCAGGTTAGCTAATTAAAATGTGGTTGGAACTGTGTTATTCCAGGTTTTGTAAAGCTAATGGAACTAGAGCTGCACATAAAACTAATGCCTAGTAACTTTTACTGTCTGCATGGATTCTTCAATAATAGAAAACTTCCTCTGACAGTACTTATCCTGTAGTTACAGTAATGTTGTGGGAAGCTTTTCATATTCAGTGAGTGAAAGGGATGATTTGGGCATACGGCATGTAACGAATATTTTCTATATGAAGTGTGGGGGAAGATCAGATTTAATACAATTTTCTTCTACAGCTAGCTTTAAAAAAAAAAAAACCAAACCACAGCACCAGCAAACAACAAAAAACCCACAAAAACCAACCAAACAAAAAAAAACACCACCACTTTTTCTTTCTGGGCAAGTCCCTTCTGTTCATGTACCAGTGAGTAATTTATGCTGGTTATACTTAAAAACAAACCCTGACTTCAGAATCTCCCCATTGTATGAGAGTGTAAACGTATATATTTTTAGTCATTCAAATTAGCCATTCTTGCAAAACAAATAGCATCCTGTGATCTTACTATTGAACTAAAAAAAGATTCTGCAGCTGCTGTTGTCTTAGTGTAATCCCTGTACATTTGTCATAAGAAAGAACAATCAACATTATACAAGATCCAGAAAGAGGAAGGAAACAAAGGGACTCTTTCTGTTTTCAGTAAGAACTGCTGGAACCTCATTGGAAATTCTGTTAGCTATGTGGTAACAGACAACTTTTGATGTCTTTGAACATATCCTGCCATTGTCCAAAGAGAATGTGGTCTCATGGCCCTATTAATTTCTGAAATTAGAGCAGAAATGTAGCTCTTCGGAAAACCAATATCCTATCCAGGATTTTTGGAGTAATATTATGGTGTTACTTGGACAAATTGAAGAAGCTTAAATATTGTGATTTAGTTCCTTTTCTGTGCATTAATGGTTTGCCATAGAAATGTCATCTAGAAGTAGTATTTCGTGTTTAATGCAACCTCTGCTTGATTGCAGGTTGTGGAGACAGGCATTGGGTCACCTAGCAGACTCACAAGGGCAGTAGGGAGGAAGGCATATTGCACCATTGTTTGCTGGCATGATGCTTCATATCTGTTTTAAACTTTTGATGTGAGCATCTCCAGTTTTTGTATTTGAAAAAATATCTCTCTTAGAGATTAAGATTAAACAACAAGGTCAAACTTTAGGTGATGACTGAAATGTTAAACTTTAATTTCACCCTTTGCATAGATTAATCCTAGGTTTTGATTATTTAAAAGGTGATTATGTTTCATGTTTCTGGGTAGGCTCAATAACTGGGATGATACTACATGTAACAGGAGGCTCAACTAGATTCTGTGAGATATGAGGCAACTTCTTTGCATTCTGGGTTAGGAAATAACACAGAGAAATTGCAGCAATGTCTTGTTGCTTCCTCCTTTCTGTAAGTGGAGTCTTCACTGTTGCTTGCCAACTGACTGTAATCCAAAAGAGGAAAAAGTACAGGATGAGAGGAAAATCCATGTGAACTAATCATATACATGTTCTTGGTAGGAAAATATGGTCATATTAAACCACACTAAGCCAATTTTTGTTTCAGCTGCACACACAGCATTTTCCACTCACTAGTATGAATACTTTGTCTATGTGTGCTCATAAAAAGGGCTCTTATAGTCCATACAGGAAGCTCAGAGTTTAAAACTGCTTTGGGACAGAGAAACACCAGAGGAAATAGTGAGTTCAGCCCCCATTCCACAGGGTCTTGTTAGCACACTGGGTTTTGTGGGGCTTAATGGTAAAGCTCCTAATTTCAGTGCTGTTTCAAACCAAACTAAGTGTTTCACAAGTGAGTAAAAGCTCTCCAGGTTCTTCTGGTAAAGTTTCACATTTCATTGAGGCTTCAGCAGGAATGTTCTTCGTGCTTTACTCAGAACTGTAACTCTCTCTCAAACTGTACAGGCTTTGCTGAAGTTGCTTTCAATACAGCTCATGGATGTTGAGACTAGTGCTGACAACTCGCAAGTAAAAATTCAAGTTAAACTCATTCAACTTCTGTGCTGAAGCCTTAAAGCCCCTCCTCCTTATTTCCCCCCCTCTGGTTTGTACCCCTCTCTAAGCCAGCGAGAGGAAGTGGGGTAAGATAACTTTGGTGCCCTGTAGCAGCAAAGGACTGTTGCGCCTTCCCCTTGTTCACAGTTCATTTCATTTACACTTAACAGGAATTAAAAGAAAGGTTGCACCTTCTTACAACTCCCAAGTCTCTGCCTTCCTTTGTGTTGAAGAGAAAATGCTGTAGCTAATGAAACAGAGATAAAGATTATTTTCTTTAAAATATGCCCAGGACCATCATGGAGTTTTAAGGATCTCCTGTAATTCCTCTAGCATTCTTTTTTCTTTATGTGGGTATTTTGGTGTCTGTGGGTGGGGGTTGTCAAAAGACATAGGATTAATATACATAGGGTCTTTTCCTTGGAGCTTGACTAGAACACAAGGTAATAATTAATCTCTTTCTTTAATTCCATTTTCTCCCTCCCTCCTAGTTCTGCTTGTCAAAAGCTGATAAAGAACAATATGAAAAAGAAGAGAGACCAGAATCCCAGCAGGAGATTTTGAGAAGAGCTGCTAAAGACTTGCCTATCTATACGACAACAGCATCGAGAGGTGAGATATAAAGATAATTCTGTGCTCCTGAAGCTGCTAGTTTAATTCAGTGAAATTAATTTGATGTCACTGAATGAACAATCTGTTAAGCCCATATTGCTAAGGCCATGAACTTGTTTTGTTATTTGTTTGGGCTGGGTTTTCTTCCCCCAAGAGAAACTGGAGTCCTTTGTCTGGGGATCTCAACATGCAGCCAATATTTGGAATAAAAAAAAAAAATCCTCTTCTAGCAAGCAGATAACATTTATCTCTAATTGTGGCTATTAAAAATAAACACAGAAAAGAAATATAGCTAATACAGCTAGAAATAGAGAAAATTAAACTTCTTACTCAATTTTATAGTCATTTATATCCCACTTTTAAACTTCTTTTTTCTGAGCTGCATCAGTTCAGCAGGAGGAGAAACATCACACTTAAGGCTAGAATTTAAGAACAAATAAATCTTGTTTCATTCCCATCTGTAATTCAGTACAAAGCTAGTTATGGGCTATTTCTGTATTTGCCTTTAATACGTATAGGCATTTTTATTCCAACTTATATATGAATGATCTGTGAAACTGCTCTTATGCATATGTATATTCTTAAAATCTAGCATTTATATGTATATATGTATCTGTTTCTCCTTCTTGAAACTAGCAACCTAGTAGAGTTTTCCAAAAACATAAACCACTCGGAATAACTGTTACCAAAGTTTACTGTGACATTCCAAAGTCTAAGGACACCTGGCTTTTTTAAATACAAGCATCCCTTTAAGGGAGTCCCAGTCTTAAGTTCCTGGAGTGGTCTGGGTAGCTCTTGCCAGCTCTTAGCAGTCCTGCTTAGCTGTAGGTGTTGACTTTCCTCTTCCTTTCAAACTGCCTCTGCTGGTGTCTTATTTCCATTGAGAAGAGCCTGGCTTGTTTAAAAATATCCAGGAAAGATGAGGAAGGGCTGATTTACTGAACACTCTGCTAGATCACTATTTGCTGAAGAGGATAAAGAAAGGTAATGCAGAAAGTTGGCTTGCTGGAAGAATGTAGTTTCACAATGGGATGCCTGAGTACCCTGTCTGGAGGTGACAGAAAGCAAGTGATAGGGGATCAGTACAAGAGGATGAAGGATGGGAAGACTCTGGAGCCAAACTGTAAATGGAAATGGACTCTGTACAGTAGTAATAGGTGAAAGTGTTTTAAATACTTTCATATGTTACATTTCTTAAAAAAATAAAATATACATATCATATGAGAGTAGGCACATGAAGGTCTGTGAGAACAGGTGTGGCAGGGGAGGGCAGGAAGCTCTTTAAGATTCAGTTCATGCTAAGGGGGAAAACCTTTGTAAAATTAAATGAGTTCTAATCACTTGACCCTTGCCACTTGAATGCAGCCATCAGATACTGTGATCGATGCCAGCTAATCAAACCTGACCGCTGCCACCACTGTTCTGCATGTGACATGTAAGTTACTGAATCTGAAATGATGGGTGTTCTCTCTCCTGCAATCATCACTTCAGTGTGTTCATGTCTTCAGTGCGTCAGCCCTTGCATAACAGCAGCTTTTACTATTTGTTCCTCTCTCAGACCCACAGTACTTGGATTTCACAAAAGAGCAAAGTTCTTCCTGTTGGTGCGGTATTACTATTGCAGCTCCATTGTCCAAAGTGGTAGAACTTTTTAGGAGACCTGCTTGTAGCTTTGTAAAACAGTGCTTATATTAAAATAGAAATAAATAAATAAATTAGAAAATCAGCAACTGAAAGTAAAGAAAGACAGGTCTGAGATACCAGCACCAGCAAATGCTTATTATAGAACTTCTTTATTGTATCTTGCTTCTGCAGCCTTGAAACAGATGTGTGCTACTAATAATGCTAAAAGTCCTTATCTCAAAGACTGACAGTGGAATTGCATGCCTTAACTGTTTCGAAGACATTGCTGCTATTCCCTAGCTTCATTCTGAATCATCAGAGAAGTCTGCAAGGCCACTGAAGACTGAGTCTATGAGTGAGACTTCAGTAGGCTGGGCTTGAGGAAATCTAGTTAACTGAAGAACCTGATACACATCTTTTGGCTAAAATCAAATTTATTAGCGAATACAGTGAATGTCTGTGTGTCTGAAATGTCTTGTATCTGTCCTTATACTAAAACTGGATGAAAATGGCATGTGGACTATTCAAATTACCCACTGTGCTGCTCTTTTCCTCAATTAGCTTTAAAAACCAAACAAGCAAGCAAGCAGCAAACAAAAAAAGGTAGCAAAAATAGCCCCAAGGTAGACTTAGTGAAGTGAATGCCAGGCTAACATACCTTATCCACACAACTCTGAATGGTCCTTTGGATTTGTTTTCTCTCAATGTGCACATAAAACTAGTATGGCTTAATGAACTATTACATAGTGTTGCTCATTAATGGTCCCCATGTTAATTTAAGAGACTCTCTTCATAACTCTTCTGAATCTCATTTGGTCATTTTGCGTGAAAGGATGGCTGCTATAATACAGAGATTTGGCATGATTGAGAAGGACTTGAAAAAGATACAGTGGGGCAAAATAGTTTAAAAAACAAAACAAACAAACAAAAAAAAACCCCCAAAAAAACCCCAACCTCCAAACCTGTACAAGCTAAAAGTATGTGTTTTAGGAAGAAAATGTATTTTTTGCTTTAACTTACTGGAAATTATCTCTTTCAGATGTGTACTAAAAATGGACCACCACTGTCCATGGTAAGTTTATAGAAACAAAAAAAAAGATCAGTATAATAATGATGACTTAGATCCTACCTGATTAATTAGACACTGCTTCAAAAATGCAACTTTGAAGTAAAACTTGATTTTCACAGAACTCCTGGTGTCTTTAATATGTGAAAATCTTGTTCCTAATGTGTGTTGCAACGTAGAGTTGTAGGCCCAGTACCCCAAATCATGCAGCTTCTCCTTATATAGAGAAACTCTGGCGTTAACAAGACCTATGAGAAATGGCATTTCTTTTGTTTAGTTTGTACTGTTAACCAGGAGAGGAGATACCCGCTACATTGTGAAAATCAGTTCTTGGTTCTAGATGGTACATATGACCCACTCAGACAGTTACTCTTCTGCGGTTTGTATTCACTGGTAGTCAGTAAAAATATTATCTGCTGACACTATAAAAATACTGCTATCGGTAGTTGACTTGAAGGTGGTTTTGTAACCAGAGCAACATCCACTGAAATTGATGGAGAGGCTCGTACTATCTTCTGTGATGACTGCAGTTAGTTCATAGTGTGTGACGCTTCTTATACAGACTGTATGTATCATACGCTTTGCCAGCTCATGTCCTGTCCTGTAGAACTTCATGGGGGACAAAATTATTTGAGGGGCCCAGATCATTTGGCCTGAGGAAAGAGACTTCATTCAAAATGATGGCTTAAAATGCTTCTGAAACACTAGTGCCAGACTGTTTTGGACATACCACTGACATCGTACATGTTATGCTCTGCAAAAGCTGAATGTATTACTTTTTATTTTATTTTATTTTTTGTATATCATAGTAACCTCTTTCTCTTTCCCCTCCTTCTAGGGTGAATAATTGTGTGGGATTTTCTAACTACAAATTCTTCCTCCTGTTTTTAATGTATTCCTTACTGTACTGTCTGTTTGTTGCTGCTACAGTCTTGCAGTACTTCATAAAGTTTTGGACAGTAAGTTCTAAGTTTTTTTGTTGTTGTTCATTTGTTTAATCCTGCATGTGTTATTGGAGGCTGCATCAGCATGTTGTCACTCACTGTTTACTCTGTTCCATAGTTCATTACCATTAACAGCATCAATCGAAGTGGCTGAAGCAGGAGAACCTTCCGAATATTAATGAATTAAATGTATTACACTGCCCATGATGAGTAATTGGGGGAAGAAGTTCTGATGAGGACACTGTGCAATTTCTCTGCTCCATCAAAACCAAGTGGCACAGCTCAGGTTTTTGAGACTATTGGATATAGATACATAGTTATAGAAAGAACGGGCTGTATCAATTACATATATGTATATACACACACACACATATATATATATAAAAATACTGACAAATGTGAAATATAAGTAACAATTTTGTATCTTCCTAGATTTGTCTATGGATGCTACCAGATAAGGCAGATTAATTTCTTGGGAACTGACCGAGCTCTGATTTGGAGTCCCTGCATAGGCGTGTCTGAACTTCATACTAGTGGCTTTTATTGATCTGATATGGGTAGAATGCTAAGATATGTACAGTGTTAATGATATACATCCTCCTTGCAACTGTTATCAGTTGTCAAATGATTGATACACATACATGCATCTTAGTAGATTTAATAACATTTATGTGAAGGGTAACCGTCCTTGTACATAGTGTTATATTCCTCTTATAAGTTTTGTTCCAGTCACATTCCAGGCTAAACAGAGTGTCTTCTGGTGTTGTTCCCTTTCACCTCCAAAACCTTGTACTGTGCCTTCCTGTCTCTAGGCAGAAGAGCTAGTGTCAGAATTCCCTTAATCAGTTTCCATTAACTAGCATGGGAAAAATCACTGTAAGTGGAAGGCTCTCCATCGCTTTATAAGTAAATAACAGCAGATATTTCTTAGATGCTAGTTGCTGTCAGAGTAACTGGGAAAAGCAATCATCACCTGTAGCTGCAGAAATAATGTTTATTGGAGCAAAAAGATGTTGCCGTGTCAGGCTAAGAGAAGCTTGATCATGTATTCAGAATAGCTGTATGTTGAGACAGTTGGCACTAGACAGGTAAGATAAGTGGTGCAAAAAGTATGTTTCTTTGTGTTCATCTAGGCCTATAGGTCTGATCTGCCAAAGTACTATGTTTCTCTTAGTCTGTCAGTTCTGTATAGCAGCCTGTCACTGGAGAGCAAGAAACTATGTGGGAATTGAGCTGTCAGTATTGTGTGAGATGAAAGCCATAAATATATTTATCAGTCATAGCTGTGGCTTGACAGGTATTTCAAATGAAATGGTCTGATTCTGCTGTTCAGTCTTGCTTGACTGTAAATAGTTAAATTTTTAATTTGTGAATGTGCCACTCCCAAACATCTGCCTGGCTGCTTTCCAGTGCTTTGTATGCAATTTCTAATGAAACTGTAGATGCGCTCTTACATATTTACCAGTCAGTGCTTGAGAAAAAAAAATTAATTTGCTTTGTCACCTCACTTCATAAGTGTTAGTGCGATAAAAGTCCACAGGACATCTGACCACAATGTACATTTAATACCAGCATTTGCAGCAAGGCTCTTCCAAAGCCCATTGGACACAATATTGAAGTGGACCCTTGAGCAGAGGAAGTAAACTTAAGAGAGTTTGGGGGTTTGTTTGTTTGGTTTTTTTTAATTAGTTGTTAAAAATGCCTCCTGCAAGAATGGGCTACTTCTGAAATGTGACAATAGACAATGTAGTTGTGTGCACTTGTTGCTTTCGGTTCCGGTTACTTCCAAGACAGAATCTGGTGATGCCACGATCTTATCATTAGAGTAGGTCTCTGAGTCACTTTACTCATATTAAATCATTCATTCCACAAAGCTAATATTCCTCTGATCTTACAATAGCTTGATTTTAAAGTACACTTCCAGAAAGAGGTGGCAGCACCATAATCACGTTGGCTTGCAAGATTTAGCATGTCTCTAGTATGTAAGCTTTTAGGCAAGTGCTGTTCACTGCAAAACAGAGTCCTGGAAGCTTCTCTCTACAGCTGTATCCAGATCAGAGCAGGGTACTGCTGACACGTGCTGTCTGTAGACTGCTTCAGTATATTGCTAATGCTCAGCTTTGTGTGCTACAGCATCAGACAGATTGCCGTTTTGACATTTTCTGTTGAGGCTCTCTAGGTATTGTTTTTTCCCCCCAAAGCTTGACTATTAGAAATGTTATAGTATACCTTCAGAAGGTAGTTTTTCTTTTTTGCTTCATCATGGATGTTTTTCAGAGAAAGTGTGCAATAAGCTGCTGCATATGTCCAGTGTTAGGATGGAAGATGAACTGCTTCTTGGGGAGTGTAGCCTTGGTTGCTTCAAAAGTTGTAGTAATGAGGTTGTGAAGGTGTATGTGCTAACTACACAAATTTTAGCAATCCATTGTTTTGCACTGTTCACAATACTTGCATAGAGACACAACACACATATGCAGATACTTGCAAACATTGTGAGAGATGCACACCTACCAAACTCTTCTGTTGAAGAAAGCCTTTGTGTTTCCTGCTTGCCACGTGCAAGACTTCTACATAGCATATTTCATGCTCTATGCAGAAGTGCTGAAGAAGGATCTTGGTACTGTTCATAACACTGGTGGAACACCCATACTGGCTGTAAACGTTTACCACAGGCTTACACACTGATGCAGATGTTAAAATCTGTTTTGTAGATCAAGGGAATGTGAATGACTCCTTTTTTTTATACTCGTAACCATTTTTTCTATACTCATGAAATTTTTATTTCTACCTAGGAAGTTGTTAAAGATAAGCAGATAAAACCTCAGTTTAACCAAATGTATTTGACACAAACATCAGCACTGGCTGAACGCCCAGTCCTTGATGTCTTGTTTACAAACTGCATGGTGGTACTTCGCAGTGTATATTCATATCTAACCTCATTCTCGGTGCACTCCCTCCCCCTTGAAACTTGTGTATTTTCCAGCTGTTTTCGATGTCTTTCATTGTCCTCCAAATTATTTTGGCAATCCTGAGTATAGCTAATACATGGGTGTAATATGGCTTCTGGGTAGGTGGCACACACTTCTGCAAAACTTTGGTTGTATTAACAAAAACAAAAAACAAAACAAAAAAGAGCAATTCCAGATCCTTAGTTAGATTTCATTCCTTTTGCATAGACACATAAGGACATATACCAGATCTTCTGAGTTTTTTCTAGCTTTAAGCTAGACCTAGCTACTGAAAGATGAGTAACGAGTCAATCTCTGACAGCACTTTTTTTGTTGTGGGTTTTGTTTGGGGTTTTTTGTGACCTGATAGTTGCTCATATGACTCTATGCTTGTGAAGGAGTTTGTAGGGGACTCTTCACAATAGTGACTGGCTTCAGTCTATTATGTGTGCTAAGTAGCCCAAATTTTATTGTGCAAATTGCTTCCCTTTGTAAGCTCTGCAGCTGTCTCACTTCCAAGTCTCTGCTTCTGTGCTGCTGCTGAGCATAATGATTTTAAATAACTAATGTCTGAAGTTTCACACTCTTTTCACATGCTGTGGCATGTGGACTGCTGCTAGAACACAACTGTGAATAAGCCTGTTATATGCACTCAAAGCCTGCATGCTTCTCTCCAGGAAGGAATTGGCCTTTTTTTGAAAGATGCTTCAGTTCTGCAACTGTCATTCAAGAACTTAACAACCAGTGGCTGAAACTGGGTAGTCAGAAGAGGTAAATGCTCCCTGGGGATCATGCAAATTAATCGTGCATCATTCAAAAGATCCTTCTCCAAGTTACAGAGCTACTGTTTTTGGAAGATGGAACATAAAAATGGAAATAAACATATTTTTCTGGCCCACAGAAAACACAAAGACTAAGCTGCTACTGCTACTGCTCTTTGATCTTCAAAATCAACTGGCCTGAGAATTCTTTATGGGGAACTATTTTGTTTAAATATGCAATTCCAAAAGAGTCTTAGAAGTAGAAGTTACAAAAATTAATTAGGAAATGGGAACACTGCATTGTGCTCTGAGGTAGGAAAAGTCATCATAGCTTTAACATGAAGCTTAGGCATAAGCAGCAATTGGAGTATGTATTTTGCTAGCCTTGATTTCAAAGGATCACAAAACACAACATATCCGTACAGCAGGGGGAAGAGGGAGTGTTGCACAAATTGTCTAAGCAAAACTGCATTAAAAAAAAAAAGGCAGTAAATAAGGAAACTGAACTGATGGCAGTTCAGAGAGCTGGACTCTGCTATCATTTGCTTACTGTAGCATGATCTGATGGTAGCCAGCATTTTGGAAAATGGTGTGTATATCTGCGTGACTCTAAGGTAAATGCTTGGGCTCTCCCTAGGCTTTCTGCACAGATTAATGTAACTTAAAAGCCATACATCTTGCCTACAACAGATTCACTAAGTGCTAGCATCTTAGCTAAGACTGCTAATACCACTGTTTAGGTATAAAGTTTGGAATTTAGAAACTAATTTAAACTAAGCTTTCCTGTTTCTGGTTTTATTTTCTTGAGTACTGGTTCAATTTCAGATGTTATGCTAAAGATACATCCCAGAAACATATCTCAATATTGAAGGACACTGGGAAGAAGAAAAACTGTACTGATGTATTATGAGCTCTTTTTTTTTTTGAACAAAGAAAATTGTGCAAAGAATGGCAATTTTTTTTTTTATGGTTTTGACTGAAACTACATCTAATGGTAGTAAATATGTCCCAAAGTCAGAAAGATTTTTGTAATTTATAAACCATTGCATCATACCTCTGGAGTATACTGAGCTTTTCAGACCTTTATGAATGGTTTCATCATACAGAATATTTACATAAACCTTACTTGTGATCAAAACAACTAGCAAAGAATGCACCTGGTGTAGTCATGCTGTTCAAGCTGAGGAACCACTTGAAAGTGATCCAGCTACAATCTGAATAGCAATACTTCCATGCTTCAGTAGAAAATTTTGTGCCTTGGAAGTTAGTAGTGTGCTTTTACGTACTCTCTCCTCCATTCTCTTGGAGAATGGGGGCTAAGGCTGCTGATGGGCGTTGGAACTCGGCATGTCAGAGAGCACGTGTGCACACCGACCATTTTGTTCTTAACAAAGCCTGTGCTGTTTTCAAACGCTTCGTCTTAACATAATACTAGTGTTTAATAAATTGTCTTTGTTTGCGCAAAGCTTTGCCACAGGAAAGCTGCAGAGAATTGTCCAAAGGTAAAATCCAATATTGCTGTAATTATTTAAATACTGCTCCTACTATAATTTTTCTCATCCAGTCATTCACGGTGGCTATTTACACCATCACAGAAGGAAGGAGACTTGTAATCTGTTTCCTATGAATATAGGCAGTGTACAGGGATATAGATATGCCTGTGTGCACTTGATCTTAATTGCAATGTGTTTTAGTCTAAAAAAAATAAGCGTTAGATAAGTGGGTATACTGAATGAGCTAATGGAAAAAGTAATGGCAATAATGCTAACTAAACAGCTGAATAAAAATAGCCTCTCTGCTTTCATAGTGCTGTTAAAGGTCAACTACTTAAAAGTACTCTGATTTTAAGGATATAGAACTGGAATAGTATTGTTACAAATCCCATTGGCCTCTTGAAAGTGCAAGCCTAAAAATAGTTGGGGGTGGAATTGACTATCTGGTATGGGTGGGAGGTTATTTTTTATATGGTGGTTGTACTGAAATTGTTGCTTTTCATGTAGATCTTCTCGTGAATCACTTCTGCCTAGTCAGACATGGCAGATTTCTTTTGCTAGGTATATGCTGGTTGTTGTCTAAACCTTAGAGATCATCAAAAATTGAAGATCTGTCTCGGGTCTTGTCTAGGATTGTTCGTTTTATGTTCCTTACACCAGTTCAGAAGTAGGTTTGGTATTATTACCTTGCCAGGAAAGGGTTTGGATGTTTTTCTTCCATTCAAATAAAGTGATTTTGGACATGTTTTCCCTGTGTCTCTTTGCCTGTGGCTGCACAGTTAACATTTTTTAGTATAGGAAATTTTTTTCCTTGCCCCTTAATGTGCATTTAAAAACTAACAGATGAACATATGCACTCATGCTACTAAACTCAGGTGGAAGGCGTACCCATCAGCTTTAAACGTTGTTGTATATCAGTTTAACATGATGTGAAAGGAAAGCTGGGCTTGTGCTTTTTTTTCTTTGTGAAAAGTGAGGTGAAAGACCTATAGCAGAATGGGTATGACAGAAAATGTTTAGTGACAATACTGCATTAGTTGCTAAAAAGTGTTAACGTATTAATCTCTTTCTCTCTTTCTCCCCAGAATGAATTGCCACATACCCATGCAAAATTCCACGTACTATTCCTTTTCTTTGTGGCAGCCATGTTCTTCATCAGCATACTGTCACTCTTCAGCTACCACTGCTGGCTAGTTGGCAAAAACAGATCAACCATAGGTCAGTTAATTGGAATACGGAACTGTTCCTTATTGAGAAAACCAACAAGTTGATGAGAATGTGAGGCCTACAGGATATGCCATCACATATAAACAGAATTTTTAAATATTGTGCAATAAGAAGCATATTTGGTGAAAGTAATTAAAGGTGAAACATAGGGGGAAATGGAGCATGTGTAGGGTTCCTCTGCTGGAGCCAAGCGTTCAGATTCATGATGAATGTTAATTTATTTTGTTTGTATTTTTGAGATCTCTGAGGCACTGTACACTTATGTTGTGCTTTATATAGTGTTAAGTATGTAACAATTGCTACTTGCCAGTAACCCTGTTGTTCTAATACTTTGAGTAGGTGGGTGGCCCCAACCAAGATGAAGGCTCTACTGTATGTGAACATGCTACATTTTGAACTAGATCTAAAAGAGTATTCTTAAATCCTGTGATATAAAATGGACCTCACTATTAGGAAGTGGCTTGTAAAAGCAGTGCGATAAAAATGGAAACACTGATGCACGTTTCCTAAATAATAAAAGAGATTCACATAATTTCTATGCCTGAATGTTTTAAATGGCATTGACCAGCACAAGCAAGTTACGTGCATTAGTTAAAATATCTGAAGTTCTTGCTAAAGCATTTTTGAAAGTGTGTTTTGCGGGGTTGGGGGGTGGGGACTGGTGGGTATTTCCACAACTGTGCAAGTCAAAATCTTATACCTTTTAATGGAATTAAATTTCTGTCCTCAAAAATAAGTGGGTTGATTAAAAGTGAAATAATTTTCAGCTTGTTAGAATTTTTTGATGGAGGAAAAGGATTTTTTTTGATTGCTTGATGGTAGCATTGTTTGAGTCCTTTTTCTTTTGACATACCTACAGCTAAGGAATATTCACAGTTTCTTTTTTAGCTTTGAAGAACATTTCAGCATGTTCCTTGCCCAGAAGTCAGTGGTCATAATTGGCCACACAGTACTTTATTTATTTTCTGGATCATGATTGTAAAAAGACAAGCTCTTGGTATGGGGAGAGCAATGAGTCCTCTCGGTTCTTGGCTGAGGGTGTAACTGGACTGACTAGGAAATGGTGGCGGTTTGCTACAGTTCGTGGTGCGTCTGTTTCAGATGTAATAGATATCATCTTTCTCTGATACCACAGGACACTCTTAATTCAACTTCAGACCTTGGCAGAAGTGGAAGAAACTATACTGTATGGGTTTAGGTCCAGTAGTGCTTATGGTAAATTGCTTCTAGAAGAGGAAGCCTTCTGCTCAAAAGAGGCTTCACAGGCCAAAGAGAGAGCTAGCCATCAATGAATAAGGGTTCTGGTGTCTTTGCCGTGCTGATGGTACTTAGGTCTGTCTCAGACCTTAAATGTTACATGTAAAGAGAGAAAGATGACTGTTCTGATCACGTGACTTTCTTCCCTTTTGTTTCTATTTTTGTCATTAACACTGTGGTTGGTTTTTTTTATGCTCTCTGATTACTTGAGATGACTTTTTTCCCCCCCAATACACATCAAGGTCGTTTTAGCTTGCCCGACACTGTTTTCACAATAGAGAAGTTTGAGTCTGTTTATTTGTCTTCCCTGACTCCTTATCACTTTAGAGATAGTGCATGTTTTTCTTTTACAGAAACATTCCGTGCACCCACATTTCGAAATGGCCCTGATAAAAATGGCTTTTCTCTTGGATGCAGCAAAAATCTGAGGGAGGTTTTCGGAGATGAAAAGAAGTATTGGCTACTCCCTATCTTTACCAGGTATTCAGTCTGAATGGGAATGAACTGGGGGATAAATTGATTCCATGACTTTCACCTTGCTTCCCCTTCTCCTAAAAAAAATAAAGCACAACTGAAAAGCCAACTCGTAAGTCCTGCATGATGAACATTGGTGTAGGGAAAATGTGCAGGAGAAAACTGAGCGAATTCTGCACAGGGTTTTCATTCAAAGAGAAGGGCCTCATTGATAAGGGCCTTCTAAATATGGAAGTTTGGAAAGCTTTGAGAAGTGTATTTCAAAAACTGTACATCTTTTGGTGGTAGTATTAGTGTCTGATTATAGAGCAGTAATCAGCAACTCAGAGGAGAACCAAACGCTTGAACTTCAGCAGCATTGAGACAACATCAGTTTAAAAACACCCCCTATTACCCCTGAAAACACTTGACAGCTTTCCTTTTACTGTAGAGGACAGTTTAGGTATTGAAAGCTGCCTGAGAAAATGTGTGTAAATAAGCAGCAGTGCAAAAAAAAATTCTGATACAATGCAAAATACTGTTTTTAAAACTTCAGCTGAGCCAGTGTTAGGGAGTTGCAGACAAGCGTCAGAGAAGCTTGATGAAGCAAGACTGACCTGCTGCCCACTCCCACCACTCCTGAAAGTCAGCAGAACAAAGTAGGAGCTGTATTTCAACACTGCTTTTAGGGGGTCATGTATCAGTTAAAAATATTGGTGAACCCATTTGTGACGCTGAGGTCTGGTAGCAAACAGCAGAGGTAATAACGAGATCTTAAGTTGCTTCAGTTGTTTGCTCAACTACCGTGACTTTTCATGTGATTAAAGACAGAAGCTATATTCTAGGTCGATCAGTCTGTTTTGCCACCACATTTTATCCTGATTAAACTTGCTTTAAAAGAAGGCTTAGCTAACCTCAAAATGATGGGTGGGGAGGGGAAAGCATGGCCACCAAAATATTATTTATGCTTCTGGGGTTGTAAATACCAGACAGTCTGGCTACATGTGCACGGTGGTTTGGGGCAAGACCCAGGCTACAGTCTACAGAGACACAGGGATGTTTCTGCAAGACATAGGCTAGTGATGTGCTCAGCAATCCATACTGAGTGATATGGTGGGAATCATTTGAGCTCCAAGATTTAATTAACTAATCATCTGGCTTAGTGGTAGAACTGCCTTGCTCAAGTCTGGAGTTCAACACTGCACTCAAGTAATTGATTCGAGCCTGCAGCATTTGCCTTTTGCATGGGTACTTTTCAGTTCATTTAAGTCAACTACAAATAGTGATTTGAATATTTGTTTCTGGTTTAGTTTGGGCGACGGATGTAACTTTCCGACTCGTTTGGTGATTATGGATCCAGAGCAACTTACTGTCTCAAGCCAAAGTGAACCTGCCAAAAGGTAACTATAGCATTTAAGTTAGTGATTTTGTACTGTTCTGTACCTCATCTGGAGAAAAAATTGTTTCAAAATTACTTAGTTTTTTATACTTCCTGTCATCTTCAAAGTGAGTTTGTAAGTCTTCAGAGAAGGACAGAATGGATCAAGACTAAAAAATGGTGCTGCTTCATGCAGAAATTGTTTCTTGGTTTTGACCTGTAACAGAGGATATGGCTCTGAGGAAACAGTAATGCAGAAAGTAAGAGAGCTTACTGGCTCTTAACAACAATCAGCAAAGTTCCAGGGAAGACTGAATAATGGCCCATGGAAAAAAAAGTTCAAGATCTTTTTTGGAATGAGAGAAAGGCAAGGTAAGGTATTACTTGTACTTTACCTCCTCCAGCATGCTTAAACAAGGGATGCTGAGACACAGTTTGCGAGAGAGTTAGATCATTGTGGCTAGTGCTGGTTTTTAGCACTGGCGTGTTTTTAGCTCATTACATTTTATCCCTCCAAATTTGCATGGTTTGTATCTTCAGTGTACTTTCAGGAAGCCTGCTTTAGATTCAAAGACACAGGAGTATGTGAAACTTCTGGGGGTGTTTACATTTGTCATTTTAGAAGTGTTCTGTATAGTTTGGTGAATTTGTAGCTGAAGATTGTTGTCAACAGCAGTCACCTGAGTTACCAGGCATTAGGGAGGTTCAAAGGCAATACTGAGAAGTTGCTTCCAGTGCAGCATAACCAGTGGAATTTAGACAAGAGCAGGACCTTTGTGCAAACAGCAGAGTATCCTTTTGCATTAAGAAGATTTTCAGCAGAAAGCCCTAGCATTTACTGATGGAATAAGATGGCATTAGGTTGTTCTTCCAGACAGTACTGGTTAAGTTTTCTTTTTAACAGTGTGGCAGTAGCCTTGTTGTCAGTATGCCATTTCTTGTCTATCAATCTGTGCTTTTTTTCCATTAGAACTGTGAGTGGCTTATGTCAGGTAAGGGTTTAGAGTGATGACAGGAACAAGCCTATAGGAGAACGGAGTTGGGGGCTGGGGGCCATTTTTAGTTGGCAGTGTAGGTGGTTTTGTTTGCTTTGCTCTTAAGTAACTTCACTACTCTACAAATGTCTGAAATAAGTAGCTACTGCTATTACAGAATTCCTGTTGACTTTGCTTACTTTTCAGCTCTGGAGGCAGTCAGTCCTTTCCTACTCGACCACTCAGTGAATCACAAAATCGATTGCTAGCCAGTGACAGTCAGTGGGTGGAAAGTGGCCCTGAAGAGGAAAATGTTAAATCAGGTAGCCTGCACCGTAACACTTCTGTTGATTCTATGGTTTTCTTTGTGGTGGGTTTTTCCATTTTCTTTTAGGCCTAAAAAGTCCTTAGGAATTGGTTGGAGTTAAGTAGAAGAAAATTTGTTCCATAGAATCAAGACAGCATGTTTAGAAGTTAAGGCTAACTTGTCTCATGCTCTGCTCCAAAATGAGTTACTACACTAAGGTAATGGATAGATAATTCTCACTTTCGTGCTTCCTGTTCTGAGATTTTGGATCTTTTTACATTTGATTAGGGGGAGGAAAATACTTTTCTAAAACAGGCACAACACAATAAATGTGCTTTCTGGTTTGAAGTCTTTGCTATTTGTTGTGCAAATCTGCAAAAACACATAATTGAGATTCTCTCACATTTTAGGTGCAAAAAAGCATATTATAGTTTCATTGGAAAGCTGATCTCAGCTTATTACTAACCAACCATCTCAATGAGAAACAGGTAAGACCAACATAATTGATTGCCATTTCTGTATATGTATGAGTAAACTAAAATAGACATCCTGAAGTCAAAAGTCACTAGTCATGGAATGCAGAGGAGTCCTCTGATGTTGGATGAGTAATAGAAAAGTCTAAATAAAACTTAGAATGGCTGTCCAGAAGACAAGAATGGGAGTAAAGCTGTAGTGCATGAAACATGGGCTGGCTAGATCTGAGATGAGTCAGACTAATCCTGTAATTTAGATTGAAGTGGGTAGTGCTGGATTTGTCACCTGACCAGGGAGAAGAATCTAATCTGCTAAATAGGCGATTTCAAGATGAAGTGCTGTCTTGAGGAAGTGCTGTTCTTAAGGAACAACTCCTTAACTGTCTTTTTCTTAATCGTATATTGGTGGGCTGTGCTCTGCTCTTATACTTTAGCTGTGTGCATACAAGGAAGGAAGGTCAATAGGTAAATACAGGTGTCTGCATACGGACTGCTTAGTCACACTTGGGATTGACAGTGATCTTTTATGTAAGAGTTCTGCATGCACTTTGCATTTAGGAAATACAGTGAGTGCTGCTGCATATGTGAAAACTTCCCTTGGTCTATTTCCAGTGACTACATTAAACTTCTTTTATATTGACTTCGTACTGTGGTAAGCTTATAAGCTCCCATTAAATTTTTCTCTCTGGAAGAGAAACAAATCTTATTTGGACAACTAGCAACTGTAGATGCTGAGGGCTGACTCATTCACCCCTTCTGCCTTCCCACCACCACCACCCCAAAAAAAAAGGGGAGACAGAACTTGCGAGGAATTCCCATTTTCTTTGGAAAGAAAACACGATATTTGAGGTTTGTGACCTCAGTAATTTTAGGATCACTTTTTTTTTTCTTTCTTTCTTTTTTAAATAAGGCTTCTGACCTAGAATCATTGTTTTGGTGGGGTTTAGCAGGGGTGGTTTGTTTTCAAGAAAAAAATCTGTCTAAAAGGTCTTTGCAGGGGATGGTATGGTGCTTGGACTGATGTTGGTCAGACTGCTCAATGTAAACTCATACAAAATCAAAATTAGACTAGTTAGTGGTACTTCTGAAAAACCTACTCAACCATGAGGACCCACCAAAGATGAGTTTTCCCTTTGCAAATTTTCTTAACACTTCATAAAAATGTGCAAATGAATGTCCCAAGCAAGGGACTCCTTTCAGCCTGTAGCTATATAAAAACTAATCTGATCTAAACAGGTTACTAACGCTTTTCTATTCTTCATAGAAAGGAATACATATTTTCTGAGACCAGTTCATCTGAGCAGCCTTTGATAGGGTATTATAGAAAGGTCTTAATCTTTCTTTCCACTGATTTAGAGAGGGACTGTAAGTGACTGGCTTAAGCTAGACAATTAACTGGTAATACTTTGGGATTAATTTTCTTTCTATCCTTCCTCTCTTCCTGAAGTCAGGCCAGATTTCATAAAGGAAGATTGTGTACTTTGTGTCACACCCGAACTGCTGTAGTTTTGAAAGTTGTATAAATAAATAGTGCATAATTGCACCCAACACAAAAGCATTTTGGTATGTGTTATCTCGAATAATGGTTAACTCAGTAGCACAATGTTTCAGATGTTTTGAGTTCAGTTGGTTTTGATCACAGTTTCTGTAGACCAAGGTGGTTAATTCCAGTCCCCCTGCAATTGTAAGCAACTGTGCAATAGCTCTGAGATCCAACATCTGTTCCATGCACTTTTGTATACCCTGTAACAGACTGATAGTTGTATTTTTCAATTTTATGCCTATAACATGCAGAAGAAGCAAAGTCATAGCTGATGAAAAAAATTCCCTGATTATTCTAGAAAAAAGAGTGATTTGCAAAAGGTGGCCAATCCCCCAGCTAGCAGTCCCCCAGCCTCACCTAGGCAAATACCATTTGTGTCTCTGTATGTATCAATTTAATTCAAAATGAACGAGCAATTCTTTCCAATCAGGGATCCAAGAGACTTTAGCCATAGGTCAGTGGTGATGGATTGACATTCTTAGTGCAGATAATCTTCTAAAACATAAGAGGTTTAAAACAAAAACAAAACAACGCCCCACACCTTCCAGAAGGCTAATTATGAGTTGAAGTTACCTTAACTGCTGTCCTGAATCAGGAGTCTGTAAATCATGTTACCTAGCTGCATTCTTGTCATGCACTATAATCTAGTTTTTCAAAGCTAATGGTATAATTCCACTAATTACCTTTTTTGTTTCACTAGGTTTCTGCAACATGTTTTGTGCTTGAATATTACTTAATTTTGTTTGGAAGAAGTTATCAGTAAAAAATGGAACATGAACATTTTAGGAAGAGACAAGAAATTTAAGTTTCTGCACAGTACGATGGATTCTTGTAAGCACTATTGCAGAGCAGGGAAGTTAAGACAGATGCCTTAAGATTCTTAACGTGCATTTATGCAACACTGAATTATATACTGCTACCAAAGGGCCAAATCCTGAAGTGCCCTGCTTGGATGCACAAGGTCCAGAGTGGGAACTATGCATTTCTGTATGCTGCAGTGATGGGGGTAGATTGCAGAGACTCCTACCTCCCCCACAGGCAAACTTCATACCTTAGGCACTGCAGAAGTCACTTCCATAGCAGGTCTCCAGGATACAGAAAGAAAGAAAAAAGGAAAAGAGAAAAAGAAAAGAAAAGAAAAAAAAAAAAGCGGGGCGGGGGGAGGGGAGAAAATCAACATAGAGCATGGCCAGTGAGTCTGAAGTGCGACTATACATAGTTCAAGCACCAGGTGATGGGGAATGGACTGGATGGTGTCTTCTCCCCGCCTTCCTATTAGCCAGTCTACCCCATGATCACAGCTCTCCAAGTCTTTCAGGACTGAGGATTCCTTCTACTAGCTGTGCTTTGGAGCAAGGCAATGACAACAACATAAAAGCCTTTTACTTGGGTTTTTTTGCTATAGGATTGAGCCCCCTCATTGGTTTAACTTGATATATGTAACCATATCAAGAACAGAGCTCAAAGAAGCAAACTCCATTTTTTAGTTGAAAAAAGCATGGATTATTACTTTCCAACAATTGTCTATCAGCATACAAAGAAAAGCCAATCTAAAAAGGAATTAACAATTGTTATATTTTCTGTTAGTCTGCAGTGTTCTGTACGAGGCAGTAACAAAATGGTAAAGTACCCCTGAGAAAAACCTTATTGCAGTTGTGTGTTGTTAGAAAATGGAACTGGAAGAGTACTGCTTTTTCTGTGGGACTCTTGATGGTTTATAAATACTGTTTTATAGTTTTGTTTTATCTTTTTAATAAAGGCACAAGTTTTTATTGGTTCTAAAGTACCATTTAAACCAATATCAAGTACTTAAAAGAAAATTAGTGTTGGATCATACATCTGGTTAACACACTGAAAATTTGTATGCTTTAGTCTGCCACTTTCAAGTCCAGTTTAAGTGATGCTGAAATTGCTAAAGATTGAGTACTTTGTGCAGTGATGTACCTGTTCACAAAAGGCGAAATGTGTTTCCTGTGTGAGGAATAAAGTCCATCCTAAGCTTAAGACCTACAGCAAACAATATGGGGTTTTTTCCCCCTCACTCCTCTATAGAGAAGACTGCTAACTCATCTTTGGGAGGTATTGGAATTTTGCACCTGGAAAAAGTGACAAATACTATTTTACTGTCTGTAACTTTTCTGATGTTTAGCTGATGTTGATTACAAATAGACATGAGCCCTTTTGATACAGACTGAAAGTAGTAGCCAGGTTGATGATCTGGACCAAAAGAACCTGTTTGGTTTCTCTCCCAGATTGATTGCTACTTAAGTCAAATATGTTTATGATGGAGATACTAAGGTATCAAGTATACTGTAAGGTTTAAAGCAAGTATTTTTTTGCCTTTGGAAAGAATAAATTTTCTTAGATATTAATCTTATAGAACAAGAACACTTTGAGAAGCTATGAACATGATTTGGTCACTGTTGGATGTTCCTGAGACAGAAGTAACGGTCTAAACCTGAGTGTTTTCTAAAAGTTGCAGAACATTTCTTCAAACTTGGTACAAGAAATTTTGCGTTTGCTACTATCAAAACTTATAAAAGTATTGCTACACATTAATCTGAAAGGTTTAGCTTTTTCTTCTCAAATGTCAAGTGAGAACTGCTCATCTGAATATAACCTCTCAGTAGTACTGCACCAGCAAAATTTCTTTGGGAAGACAACAGAGACAGAAGACTGCAAGTTCAAATGGCTCATTCTGAATACCAAAATTTGCAGCCCCAAATACTGGTGGAACTAATGGAGGGCCCAGGATATCATCTGGCTTTTACTGCATCAGTGTGTTACAGCTGGGATAACACATACATGCACAGTCATTGTCTAGCAGAACTATAAGCAAAATCTATGTCTCTGATGTGGTAAATATCACTGATTCAGCAATACAGTCTCTGCCCCCTTCCTCCACCCCCAAAGTGCTTGATATACCCCCATATGAATTTATATATACTGTAGGCTAACATCAGTGTAACTTGTTTGATTTCTTAAGTCAGGATAGTTAATCTACAGGAAAAACTGCAAGTAAACAGACTGGGCTAACTCCATGTGTGTTCTCTAGCGAGTGCTGGTCTTCTGAAACCAGTTCTTTGTATATCTGGTGGATATTTTTGTGGCTTTTCATGAAGAGCTGATGTTTCTGACATCTTTATGCAGATCATGGGTACATTTTGTCCCAGATTTTTCTCATGTTTCGGATGAAAAAAGGAGAGCAGTGTGCTTAGGATACTCTTGAGGCCAGAGTTACTGTTGGTGTAAAAGCAGGCATTACTGAAAAGTCACTTTGACAAACATGAAATGTAGTAAAATGATTCAAATATGATTCTTCCAAATTCACCCCCTCCCCCTTTTCTTCCCCTCCAGGAAACTGGTTACTAAGAGAAACGCCAGACTGGTATAAAGGAATTAACTTGTCTAAGGGAATTGTATTGATGAACTCTAAGGGCACACCAGTGAGTGGAATGGGAGGGTCATGTTTTCCTGGCAGGCCCTGGCTGCAGAGGAGGTATCGTGTCTAGGGCAGCAGGACAGTGTCTTCTGTTCTCCAGAGTTCTGTCCTGACAGCTCCCTAGCTGTAAGCAAGGGCACTCTGTGCTGTATCAAACAGTAGGACAGGAAAAATGAGGGAGCAAGCCAGGAATTTAAAAGTTGGTGAGGACAAAGAGCTGTTTGGCTGTTGAGTTGCAAGCAGACTAGGGTATCGCTGCCAGCAGAGGCAGGGGGGCTGTAGAGGTGCTCCAGGAAATAGGTCCTTTTGGCCCATGCACTGAAGAGCTGAAAACTTGCGGTGAATGCAGCAAGAAGAGCGGCTCTGCCTGTTCAGGAGGCCAAAAGAGAGATGGATCCTGAGAAAACAACTGTTTAGGGTGCTGCATCATGTGCTGGTTTTGTGCTTTAACCTACTCTCTGTTGGCAAGTCTTGAAAATACCTAGATCATCACTAAAAATAACAGCCCTTAAGCTTTTAGATCCATCAAAACAATTACTATTGCAAGCCATAAATAGTATTGCAGTTACTGCAGGATAGTCGACATCATTGGCTGCAATTAGGAACTATGCTTTAGTATTTCTTAATGCTTTTTTCTTTTAAAAAAATCCACGTACACACAGGAGTCATGCACACAAAATGACATTAAACTCCCAGTGTGAGGACAGAAGCCTGATATAGGGCAAGATTTCAGTGTGACTTCTTCTCAAGATTTCTGAAATGTCTTGAGATGATAAACCTGTCCCTCTGAAGATGAGGCAGGCAGATCCATAAATAGAAAATACTTGAAACATAGCTAATACAGTTTTTTTTTCTTATGATTACTTGTTCTCAGAGTCTACAACATGCACATCATTGCTGCTCCTACCAAAGGCATATTATGGGAAGGGGGCAGGAGGAGGTGTAGGTTGCTGTCATAACTGACTTCCTACAGCATTATCCCGAGATCTCAGTGTCACAAGTTAGATGCATCACAAGCCTTTGATTGAAAACTTCCACTTTAAATATTCAGAGGGTTATTTTAGAGGGAGTTTGGGCACTTCTATTTTTAGTGATTTGAGTAGAAATTGTGGTAACATTTTTGTTAAAGCTGCCCCTTGAGCGTTCAATTTGCAGGTACCAAGCTACTTTTGGTATGCTATTCTTAGAAACTGGTCCTGTTCTCCAGAGTGCCTAAGTGCCTACAGTTTTCAGGTACTGTTTCTTCCGTCATTTGATCTTGTGTGGCTCTTCTGTGTTGTAATTAGTCTTTTGGGGTCTGGAGGTTTTCATTAAGTTCAATACCATTCACTACGCACTCAAATACATTCTTGATATATCTGAAGTGTATGGTCCAGTTGTAGCTCACCAGAGCCCCAAGAGGAGGAAAAAAGCGTTTGCAGCAGCATCACTGTCTGGCAGGTTTACCAAGAGATGCATTGACTGACATAGATTAACCAGATCTGCCTAGATCTGGAGCACTGTCTGACCATATTTATTAAAAATTTAAAAAAAAAACCACAAAACCAAACTACAGCTTTGAGCTTCATAGTGTACATTCTCTGACGACACTGTCTAAAATTGTCTGTGATTGGGGGATTCACGTAAGTGTTTACAGAGGCTCCAAACAGCAGCTACTTTAACTCAGTGCAGATCAAGAACACATCTGTCACAGTACCTAAAAAATAGCTAGGTGTGCAACATCAGAGGCTCTTCTATCCCTAAATGGCACCAAAGAGAGCAGCTGCATATAGTGATTTGTTATAATACTGAACACATTTACTACACTCATTTCTATCAATTTTTGTATATATCAACAGCTTTTTATATGCATTTTTCTTAATTATGTAACTGTCATGACATGTAATGAAGCTGCAAGTTGCAGTTTGTATGCTGATTAAAACTGGTGTTTGGCTGTTTGTTTTCTGCAGCAACTACTTGAATCTTCTTTCCATTAGGTAGTGAAGTCTGATAATGTTTACAGGATTGCTTGCTGTGTTTTGAGGGGGTTCCCCATCTTTCTTCCCATGCCCTGCCCCAAGAAACAGAGAGCACATGCTCAGCAGTCAAGCAGGTGTGTTGGGGATGAAGCATTGGGATCACCTCTATTGGCACCAAAGCATTAATGGTGACAGGCACATTCCCTTCTGTTCACATTGCTTAGCTGACAACTTACACACTTAGCATGTTCCTCTCCGATTTCTCCTGTCCCTTAATCTGTTACTATCAGCTTTATTGTGAGAAACTTAAATCTTTATGAATGACAATTTACAATCATAAAACTATCATCACAGAAACAGGCAGCAAACCTGCTGTTAAATCTGCCCCCTCTCCCTGTCCCCTTTTTAACTGAGATGAATTAAATATCGCTGAGTTATCTCAGCAATTATTTTTGCATTTGCCAGCAAGGGTCATCAACATTTGCACTAATCACAATGTCCCAGTTGTTCTGCTTCCATGTAGTCATTTTTAATTGTGCTACCTAAACTTGTAATGAGCTGTATTTAAGTTTGAGGTGAAGTGTAAAAGATATATGTAATAACGACACATTTACTGTATTTTTGGTATGTTACAGATAGGACTAGTCCTATGCACAGAGAAAACATGTTGCCATTTATAGTTTAATACTTGAAGTAACTTTTTAAAATGGGCTTTTATAAATGAATTAATTAAATACAGAATCACAATGCTTTGCCTGGAAGTTCCTTCATGTTTTAATTGTATTGTGCAATTTCCCCATATGTATACTTTTCCATAAATGTTATCCATCTTAAGCCATTTATAACCATTAAAAGTGCATTCAAGATTTTGTACATCAGTGTTCAGACCTGTTCATACTTCTCTGAAGTATAGTTCATGTTTAAATAAAAATGTTGTACCATTTTAGGCCTCTTTTCCAAAGTGACAAAATATGAATGGACTTGACACTTGAATTCATCACTGAATGCAACATCAACTTAATAAAAGTATGTGAAAGAATCTGAAAATTGCTTAGCTGTAGCCTGTGTGTATACTGGTGAGAAAAACTGCCTACCTGGGAAACATTCTGTAACTGTTCCACAGATTTTACACTCCAGCTGCAACAAACCTGAGACTACACTCATTCTTGACACATCTTCTAGGTCACTTGGTCTTGAGAGGGGAAATAAAAGAACTCTGACTTGTGGCTGACTGTATACCTTCAGGACACTAAATGTGACTTAGAAATCAGATTGCCACTCAAACAGGAATCAGCTATGTTCCTTTTAGATCAGGAATGATCTCTGTAAGAGGACAGTAACATCCAAGTTGACACTGACATGACAATGACACTGGCATTTAAATTCAACAATTCTTTCCAGAAAGTTTAAAAAAACTGGAACATTTTACAATCTTCCATGAATTCAAGCCTCATACACCTGAGTAATTCTAGTTCATCTTGGTCCTTGCATGCCTGATGAAGTGAGCACTACCTACATAGTATCAGTTGTGTCTGGAGTATTGATCTCTACAGAAGTATCCCTTCAGAAGGGAGAGTGACCAGTAAGAGCCATCTGGTCAGTACCAGCGGATAATCCCTTTCAACAGAGCAGGTGTGTTCTCCTAGCTTTTGAAAGGAAAACGGTGAAGCTATACATCTAGTTCAAATCATCAGCACTGCACTTGGTAACTCACAGTTTTATGCAAAACCCCTGAAGAACAGAAGGCAAGCAGATGGTAGAGAGCCACAGAAAAAACTGTCTCTTTAGAAAAAGACAATAATAAAACATATACTGTTCTGTAGGACTACTTTTAATGTAAGATTTTGTATACCGTAGCAAGGTCTAATTTGTCATCTACCCTTATTATACTGAGTTACAAAACTACCGTAATAAGTACAACAGCAGATCCCATGGTAGTCCGTAATACACGCCAATACTCTGTATTAATCAAGATGTCCACTTTTTTGACACATTTAAGTGGTTTAAATGATCACTGATGTATCTGTGCTCAGGAAACTTGGCTTTCGTCAGGCTTTTGAAAGCTTCCCATTTTGCCTCTCTCTCTTCTGTGTTATGTTTGTACTCCTGTTCCCGTGTCAGGTAAGGTCGACTCAGCCAATATTCATTCTCTGCTTCAATTTCCAGCCTTCGGATCATTGCTTGCTTCATTGAAAGGGTAACCGCTCTTGGTCGCCTGTACTTTCCAATCCATTGTCTTCCAGGAATTCTCTTTCGGAGTAATACCGTTGTTAAAAACATTATGCCTCAAAATACAAACAAAAATATAAAATACTTATTACCTTAGGGACTAAAATTAAAAATGTAACAAGAAAAATGAGAAACTCTTAACACACTACACTGCCTTTTAGCTGGCTGTTGAGTTTGAAGTTCAGAACCTGATACTCACAACCAGCCGTTACGTAGACAGTACAATGACAGACATACTGTAAACTTAACACCAGAAAAGGGAAACTGAAATCTTTACTTAGTTAAAGAGTTTACTGAGTTATCCTTGCATTGAGATTAAAGCATATCATCCATAAATTATTTATGAAAATTCCAGTGCCAGGTACTAATAAACAAAGGAATCACTTCATTCCTTCCTTCTTCAAATAGCTAACTGCGTTGTCAAGACAGTGAGTGTTTCCAGGTCTGTCTTCTACATCCAGATCTGGCCTTTCCTCAGTATTAAGTTTAGAACTACAGTCTCTCAATAAACTTATTAGTATACAGTTACCTAGTCTTGTATTTTAACTATGGGAAATCTGGTTTGTAGAGAAGAACAATATCTTGTAGTAGACCAACTAGTGTACGTAGAAAGCACAAATACAGTTTCCGACACAATTCACAGGTGTAACAAAGGCAAGAAAGGCCAAGCTACGTTTAGATTTGACACGCTTGCTCTTCATTAACCTGTTTATTAGTCCTAAACATGCCTAACTCCTAAGTCTCTCATTACACAGTATTTTCATCAACTAATAAGTCAGCCAAGCGCCTTAACACGGCATTAACCAGCACTACCGCTGAGAAAAGCCACCCCACCATACCACTCCCGCGGTGCAACTGCATGCTGACATTCCACTCTCCGACACAGTTCAGAAGTGAAGCTGCGGGGCTTCGCGGGGGCATTGCTGCCTCGCTCCCTGGTTCCTCTCCCGGCAGGGCAGGGCAGGGCAGCCCGTCTCCTCAGCAATACCGGCTGCTCGCCCTCAGGCCTGCGGCCGCTGCGGCCTCGGCGGGGATCGAGGCCGACGGGACTGCCCACCGGGGCTGCCCACCGGGGCTGCCCACCGGGGCTCTGCAGTGCCACAGGAGCCACCCGGGCCGCCGGGCACCCGCCAGCTCTAGGCGGGGCTCGGCCGGCGCGGCGGAGCGCTGCTGCCTGGGGAAAAGGATCCCCTGCCCCTTCCCCACCGGCGTTACGGCCCAGGCCGGCCCACCAAGAGACACCCCGCGCCCAGGCCGAAGAAGCACCGTGAGAGGCCACAGCGGTGCTCCGAGCCCTGTAACTAACGGGCCCCTCCCCGCCGCCCTCACTCACCGGCTCCGGTGACGGCTCCAACCCCCCCCTCACGGCGGGGAGAGGAAATGGGGCC